AGCCACTCCGCTTCGACATAGTACGTTGTGCTGTTGGATTGGGAATCGGCGCCGCTCGGCATTCCCAACACAACCAAAGGTTGTGAATCCCGAGCTGTAAACCAAATATTTCTCGGAATGAATAATTCTACTTTTTGGTGATCTTCTGAACAATGTCTCCAATGGTTTTCGAGTAAATTCTTGTTAAAGAAACGCAACGCGACGCAAAGTACTCCATAAACTCAATGCAAATGGTAAATGAGAGTTGAACTAACACCTACGTACAGACCGTTTGAACAGCAGCAATATATCGATCGATCTTCTGTGTCCTAATCAGGTGCTCCGCTCACACAACCCCAGCGCTGTGTAGGCGCTTGCCTGTGTGCGTGCGTGGATATGCGTTCAAATATTAGCCATTGACGTTTACGTGTTAGGACTACCCGGTTCCCAAAGATTTGAAATTGATTATTGTTAGTATAAATTCCTCAAAGGAGAAAACCTCTTGCGCTAATGTGGCGAACGTTGACTTGCTAATCTGCCAAAAACCGTTCTGATAATTCAGTTCACCCAACTATGCCATAATAAAGTAGTTAATAGGTGAGCTACGGTGAACTACAAAATATCTACCCCCCATATGAATAGACAGAAGGAAGCACACAAAATAAACGGCAGGAATAGCGGAGCATGTGGATAAAACTTCCCACCATCATAGTTTCTTCTACATAAGGTTCATTTTGACAGTCATTATTGGATAGTAGAAATATACCTCTAAACCGAGGGGTAAAGATGAGTTTCTGATAACATTTATTCAGGTTTTTAATTCCCGTTTTTCCTTTGTTATTCTGAGATATTTATTCCAGAGATGACTCAATGGATAGAACGCACACATACTGTCCGGAGCGTGAATGGTTCGAACCCGGCCTTTGCATCTCGACTTATGCCTAGGCTTGGAAAACCTGACAATATCCTAGCCCTCTTGATCTTTTCGGGTTGCATGCCAGCCGGAAACCGAAAGGGTGCTAAGGCTGTACCATATGCGTTCCTCTAACACTAATATCTTACCCATCCAATAAATCAACAGAAAAAAACTTGGGAAAGTTGATAAATCAGTCATCCATTTTTGGGAGTGGTGGCAAAACCACGGCGTCCAGTTTGAAGGAAAACATAAAATCTTCACTGATAACAGCTACAAAAATGCGAAAATAAATTTAATTAGATGAATACTCAAAACTACTGGAGAAATAATCCTTTAGCTGTATCACCTTCCGACGCCTAGCTGTCATACCGCCCGAAGGAAGCACGAAAGCTAGGATACTGTCAGGTTGCCCAATTCTAGACAGAAGAAGTCGAGGTGCAGAGGTCATGTTCAAACCACAGTCCTTTCAGTCGGTAAATTCGCACTCCACCACTCCTGGAGTAATAAGAGAACAAATGGAATCGTACTTACTTACCATAAGCACCCTAAATTCCTTTTCCGCCAAACACCCACCAGATCACTGGGAATATAATTGGTGGTACAAACTGAATTTGATCCTTTTATGTTGCGTGTTGTAATGTTTTTGATGAAAAAGCGCATAAATGCGCGTAACGCCGGGAAAAAAGGCGCCAAACTTCCAAGACTTTTTTACTACCTTCTTTAGATCCATACTCGCCTCACGACTTATTCGATCGCGTAAACAACACGTTCCTGGCCTGTTCTCCAATTGGCATGTTTAGGTCACAATACAGCACGCTGACAGTACGTTACACATTCCAAGGGAGGGAAAACTGATATCTTGAAAAACACATGCCATTTGGTTGACTCTTCCTCTTCAGTTCTCAGGCAGTGACGAACACATGTCTGATGATGCCTCAGAAAACAAATGCCCTCTTTAGAGCTCAAAACACATCGGCGATACCATAGACTGCTTTATCTTAAGGATGCCAACCAAAAAACATTCTTCTTGCTACCGAAAGTCACAGCTAATCGTTTTTCTGCAATCGGCATGACAAATTCCGATAACCAGTCCATTGCGTGATTCAGATTAGACATTCAAGAACCTTAGTTGTTGACGTGTTGAACCAAACTGCTGGTTGGATTGCAATTTAACTGCTGAGTCCTGAAAACAAATCATCCGCTGGGTAGAACACCACAGCTCACAATAACCAGCGTCATCACCTTAGAAACCGTGAATCACGTTGGACAAGATGGCGAGATGTTTCAGTAGGAGAGAATTTGCCAACCGGAAGTTTCGTGGTTCGAACCCGAACTCTGCCCCTCGACTTCCCCTGTCTAGGCTTGGACAACCTGGTAGTATCACAGCCATCGTGCTTCCTTCTGGTGGCATGGCAGTTAGGCACCGAAAGGGTGCCACAGCTGAACGATCACGATGAACAGCCACGCAAAATGCAAACAACCTTTGATTTCAAAGTCGTCGCCTGATGCAAACCTACAGGCGATATTTTGTTTATTAAACGCTTAGCATTTCAAAACGCAAAACAACCCACCATTAGGGCTGACACATTTCAGTATCTGATCTAATGTGTTAGCGTATGCTAATGCAAAAGACTTCTGTTATAGAATTACACTGGCGGATATGGCCCAATCGCGCAGTCATTGGCGCTCGTGCATCAAATTTATTGCCTTCAGTGCGTAGCTACCCAATTTCCGAACAAACTATGTCTTCGCCTCCAAGGCTTGATTTTGTACTTCGCTTTCTCTTTTTCTGGTGATCAAAACTGTGGTAGCTTTGTGGCAAACGGTTAGTAGTTGATAAATTGATTTATTGATTTAGTTCAGTCTCCGACCCTGAGTTTAAGAGACGTCATAGTCAAACCACTAAGTATGTCAACTAATACATTCTTCCGGTCTCTACAAGTCAAACGGAAATCTATAACCCATTACACATTGACGTCACGTAAAATAAAATGAAAGTTGATATGCTAAAATTTACCCGTTCTTCGGGGCAACGTGTGTGAAAACAGCAGTTGCGTTGTTTATTACAATGAAATTCTACAAGCCATTTTCAGATGTTGGTCTCTAGGTTGAGGCGAACTGTCACTCATGATTAATAACCAATTATTGCAATGCTATTTAATAATTATTAATATGGTGACAGTTCTGCAAAAATACTTTGACTTGTTGGTATTACTTCTGCCATTTCCAAGTCAGAAGGGCGGTTATACGCAAAGATCTTATGCGTAGTTATTTGAAATTACAGGGAATCTAAAGAAATCGATAATGAATTCACTTAGCTGGTAGTTTTTCAAAACTTATTGGATATTACAAAGTTAAAATACACGTTATCAACTGTATCACTCAATCTTTATTTAAGTCAAGTGACCTTTATTGTTCTATCTAGAATCAAAATTATCACAATTTTAAAGACGATAGCATCATTCTTGGATTTTGGTCAAACTACACTGGCAACCCAGCATGAATCCCGATTTCAAGTATCACAAACGAACGCGGAAACTTGATCTCGGCGGTGTTCTTTGATCCCAGATGCGGTACGAAGTATTGCTTGGATGGTTTGCTCATAATCGGATGATATTTACAATAATCTTCCCATGTTAACAATCCACATTTTTACCTGATTTTTCGGATGTCCACTGGCTACTGACGTGCAATCAGTAGCATGGTCAAAACACTCCACATGATAAAAAGCGGAAAAGTCAAAAACATTTGACAGTATAATGTGTGACTCAAAGAGATACAGATTGATGCAGCGAATATGTGTTCGCCATCTAAGTCTTCTAATAATGAATAGAAAAAAAGAACGCGTATTTTCGTCTTCTCTGTTGCTTGAAAAGTCAGCACGTGCGCGAAGCTCCTTATACGACTGCATAACGGACTTAAGATAGTTAGATAAATTGCAGGTAACGTGGCCGTTCCGAAATTGGCAAAATGTTTGTGGGTCGTGTTCCAGTATGCAAATGCGTTGCTGAAAAAAAATTCTACCCGGTTTTGGTGGCAAATATTGCTGCCAGGAATAGGCCATATGAAATCGCTTTCGTTTCCACAAGGAGTATATTATCAATCGATGGCTTAAAAAATATTCACGGTTCAGAAACCTCACTATGAAATCCTTGTTGTTGATCAGCGAACACCAAAGTGGTTTAAGAGTGAATCTCTCCTGGAACTCATCAGGGGAGTAACAATGCTTCACTCTGTTCGTAGAAACGAGAACCTCACGTGGTTTGTGTGCGCAGAACAAACATTTACTAAAGGCTGGAATGCACCAAAAAGTTTGGGATAAAGCTAGGAAGGCAAAATGGCACCCCCAACAAGAGGTACATATCATGAATCACTGCCTTGCGTGCAAACGGGAGGGGTCCGTTGGACCCTGACAACATAGCTCCTGGTTCCAATGAGGACACTAGTACAGCGGTGTGAGAAAGGTGTGACAAACCTTTTCGAGATGTCTGGTAAACCAATCACATCGCTTAATCGTGAACATGTCTGTATGGTCAGAATTACCAATTCAGATTTCCGGAATGCCACTCACAGTGCCGCCGAATATATGAAACCACAGGTGAGCGGTAATGAAAACAAAATGTGAGCCCAAATTAGGCTCATTTAAACTAATGCGCGAGGGTGAAAAATTTATCTTCAAGTGATGCTGATTCGGATATGACTCTTTCAAATGGCTATGAATCCCCATTGTTGACTGCATTTTCTAACCCCTCAATTGTTGTACATTACGTAATGAAATTCATACAAAGAAGTTGTAACTATGATACATGATCAATCGGTGAGATTCCTAATATCTGGTTACCATATCATACCACGTATGAAACCGATAGCAACCGTAAATACCCAACTGA